CAATAAGTAAATTCGCATAAAAGTTAACGGTGTTAGTTTTCCAAAGTTGACCAGAAATGACAAGGGGGCGTTTTGTTGCGTTTTCTAGTTCAAGGGGATATTTAAGACAACCCTCATAGTTCAGCTGTGCAAACTGTACTTTTCCTTTTTTTTTTTTATGATTCACTCGCTTGTAGTGGTTAGGGTAAAGATGTAATTGTTTCCAGAAAAAAAATTAGTAAATGGTCATTGAAGGATATATTGGTCAAATACTTATTTTTCTAGATGCTTAGAATTCGGTTTTCCAGCCTATAAATAACACCAATAGGCACTTTGCACCCTATAATTCTAAAGATGGCAAAGTCCACTATAATGATGTATTTCATAGCAAAATACACCCTATATCAATGTCATGTGAGATATTAATTATAAAACAAACTCAATATATCATGATATTTTTTATTTTGAAGTTTCTTTTTGTTATCTTTTATTTTTGGGGAGATTATAGAAACTCCTCAGGTAAGGTCTGATTACGAAGATTCCCTCATATTTCCTGAGATAATCTGTCATTTTGCACAACCCCTACGGTGTTACTTTTAACCAAAAAAAAATTATTCCATAAACTATTCGTTTAAAAATGTCATCTTTGCTTTTTAACATGTGTCACTATTGTTCAAAGAAGGTAATTAATTGTAAGCATATTATTACTAAGGGGGTAAATTGTAATATATTTGAAAATTGAAGTTATTTTTAATTTTAAAATTTCATGTATTTCTTCACTTTATAATTATTAAAAATAGAAAAAGTATATAAAAATATATAAAAATAATTAAATACATCTTGTAACATTAAAACTTTTGATTTGTTTTTTAAAAAAAATGATTTTTTTTACAATCTTTTATTCATTAAAATCGAATTTACATATCTTTATAATTTTTATTCAATAAAATGAAGTCTATCTTACAAATATTTTCATTGTTTTTAAATACATTTTTAATATCTCTTTTATTTTATCAATAAATTTGGGCAAAGTATGAGGAACCCCCTGAGGTAAGTTGTATTATCGAAGATTGCCCTCATATTTGCGTAGTTACGAAAAACCCCCGAGGTATGTTATCGTCTCACAGTCCCACCAAGGTATTACTTTTGACTGAATTTTTTTATTCCATGGAATATTCCACTAGAAATGCCATTGCTATCCTTGGTGGGTGTAAGCACTAGGGGTGTAAACGAGCCGAGCTCGAGCCGAGCTCGCCTCTTTTGGCTGGCTCGAGCTCGAGCTCGAGTTTATTTTGTCGAGCTCGAGCTCGAGCTCGCGAGCTCCTCTGTTTTTGGCTCGAGCTCGAGCTCGTGTCAATTTTGTCGAGCTCGAGCTCGAGCTCGAGCTCGAGCCCATTTTCTTTTTTTTTTTTTTTTAAATATTTTTTTAATTATTATTTTATTATTAAAAATTATTTAAAAAAATAAAAAATAAAAACAAAATTGTAATTATATATATTTTTAATATTTGTATTTATTTCTATAATATTTTACATTATTATACATTATTTAAATAAAAATAACATATAAAAAATAAAAATAAAAATAAAAAAATAATAATAAATCCGGCTCGCGAGCCGGCTCGCGAGCTCATGAACAACTGAAAACCGGCTCGAGCTCGGCTCGTCAGAAAGCTCGAGCTCGCGAGCTCGAGCTCGAGCTCGAAAATCTCGAGTCCGAGTTCGAGCTTTTTACGAGCCGGCTCTTCGAGCTCACGAGTCGGCTCGGCTCGTTTACACCCCTAGTAAGCACAGTAATTGTAGGCACAATAAAATTAAACTTCTATAAATTAATACAGTTGTGACCGACATAATTATCTGTGAGAAGAAAAAATGCCATGTCATTAAAGTCAATGTTTTCTTATTGAATTTATTAATGAAGATGGTAAGTGTTACATTTGATACTTCAAGGGATAAATGCTACAATCCATATACTTTAAGAGCACAAAGTGTATTTAACCCTACATTTATCATTTTTTCATAGATAGCGTAACGATTTTGAATTTGTACATTTCAATGATGGCTATTTATAGCTCTCGATTTTCATCAAATTTCGTTTAAGTTTGTCAAGCGTACGGAGAACAAATTAGCCCATGCCCTTGCTCAATATCCTTGTAATAATGTGCTGGAAGGTTTTGCTCTTCCACCCAATTTGACTGATATAGTCTGAATAAAGTTCTTCTTCCCATAAAAAAATAAATGATGGCTATTTATATGATTTCGTATGATTAAGGGCCCAGCAATTTTAGATGATTGGACACGAGTTTTAGAGAGATTCGACAGCAGTTTCGTCGAATTCTTTTAATAATATTTTAT